CCCCAAAACCCCAAAACCCCAAAACCCCATCAATCCAATTTATGAAATAAATCTTAGGGTTAAATAATGAGTTTAATCATAATTATACAGTACTTCTTTTGTTTAATCCTTTTTACATGTGAAAGTAATCTTCTCCCTCATCATATTCCTCCTAATCCTCTATGGATATTTTTGGCAGTAACCCCAAAGAACTAATCCTAGAGTGTTTTTTCTTCAGCTCCTAATGAATCGCGATGTTCTTCAGTGTGTTGCTGAATTTCATCTAGATCTCATAGTTTCTTCTGAATTTCTTTTCTTAATCCCATAATGATATTGCTTTGTCTATCTTTTCCTAAGGTAGGCAGATGATGCTATTACAAGCTGGACCGTAACTCACAGAGTTCTCCAAATCTCTGTTAAACTTAAAGGGTGAGATAAATGACTATTGTGAAGAGGGGGAAGCAAATGATGTTTAGAGTGATTGCTCTTTATTGACTTTGAGTTAGCTCCTTATCAAAGAGTTTTATTTACAAAGAGGTTCTCTTAGAGTGTGCTTACTTTAATCATTCTTTGAAATATTAACTGTTTAAATGTGATTAGTGGTCTGAACTCTGCCTAAAAAACTTGCTTATTGGACTTTGAAAGTATGAGTATGAGGATGACCCATAATATAGCCATTCCGAGAAGTTTAATGCAATATTTTCTCAAGCTTTTATCCCTACTTGCCTCCTCCTTTCACACTATTACTCATAAGTATTGATTGCCCATTTTGGTTAAGCAGAGATACATTAGTTATAATATCTGGTACTTTAGAATGAGATATATCTGGGAATAAAGTACTTCTTGACTTTCTAAGCGTAGACTCAATTTAACTAACCCCCATCTGTTTCTCCTTAATTAAATGATTGAGTGTCTAAGGAGACAGTATTTTAGCGCCTTCATCATTCTCAATTTCTTTTATTAGCTCATCCTTTCGGAGTAATTACTTAGGATATTTCATAATTGAATTGTATGAGGGTATATTTAAAAGTCCATAGTCTTAATAGCTGTTTTGATTATCAAGTATCATCAAAGCACTGCTGCTCCTATCAGATATTTTACGATTCTAATTGGTCTATTGCTGTATCAGTTTATTCTCGCTTGCATTCCTTGTAAGAGTCCCTACTGTCCTTTTGACATTGAAATTTACAGTTAGTTTAAAGAGTCTATCGTCTAGCTAGAGTTTCGTTCATTTAAGGAATTCCTTAGGTGAGTGCATTGATGCCTTTTTGTTGGATATATGCTTGAACCTGGCCTTTGAAGGATCTTCGAAGGAGTATAAGGTGCCATTAGGATTACGATCAATTAGTGTTTATTTTTTAGACATTGAATTAATTTAATATTCTATTTAATTTTAGTTCATTTATTCTCTGTGGGGTTTTGGGGTTTTGGGGTTTTGGGG